GCCGGAGCCGCCGCGCCCGGAGGATGCGACGCACCGCAGGTCACTGGGGCCGCCAACCGCCGGGCGGGGAGCTGAGGGGGCGGTGGTGAGGCCCGCGGAGGCCTGAGGTCGGGAGGACTGGGGAGGACGGAGGACGGCGAGGAGGGTGCAAGAGTGTGGAGAGGGCCGGGAGGACTGCGGGGCACTCGCGAGGGCTGGGAGGCCTGGCGAGGCCTGAGGGGCCGGTCAGGAGCAGCAGGGGCCGGCAGGGTCCGGCAGCATGAGGGGTCGGGAGGAGCGGGGAGGTCCGGGAGGGCGGACGGGTGAGGGGCGGCTGGGAGGGTGGGGAGGGCTGGGAGGGCGGCGGAGGTCGGGCGCAGGCAGGGCCAGGGGAGGACCAAGGGAGGGCCAAGGGAGGCGGCGGCTAACGGGGCCGGCGGGCGCGGCCATGTTGGGCCCTGCGGGGCCCGGCGGCTGCACCTGTGCCGGCTCGAACGGGGCGGCCGCCTTTGTTCCTGCGGCGCCGAGCGACCCGGGCCGGCCTTTGTGCGGGGCGTCCGCGGTTGGAGGAACAGGTCGGGGCCCCAAGGCCGGCGCTCCGGCAGAGGTCGGGCCGAGAGGCCGCTTTTTGTTTGCAGAAGGTGTCCGGCGTTGACACTCGCGGCTCCCGGGCCGTTGGTCAGCTCGGGCGCGCCCCCGGGGAGCCGGGCCGCGGTCCCGGCCTTCGCAGGTGGGTGGGCTGGGCGGGGGGAGTCTCCCCGGGGCACTGTCGGCCTCCGCCCAGGATGCTCCCCTCGCTCCCAGGCTGTGGACCGGTAGTCCTTGAAGCCTCCGGACACGTAGGGATGGAACCCGGCGACTGAATGGCTGGTTGCACCCTGCTTGCAGGAACAGGGGTTTAAAATCTCGGGATTTAAAAAACGCTAGTCTTGAGTTTCCATAAAAAGAAAACAGATGAAGGTATCATATAGGATCCATTGCAACACTAATCTTTCCTCGTTTCTGTCTCCAGGATGGGATTTGACATTCAAGTTGAAACTTTGTATCAACACCGATGTTCTAACGTTAATCATTTTTAGGTAGATGATTGGTGTGTGGTGTTTGTGTGTTTTAACAGACCTTGTGAAGAGAAGACAAATTAATAGGGAGTGAGTTGAGATCTAGGTTAGGGGAAGTTCTTCAGTACTGCCAACCCACTCTCAGACTTTGTAGTGTTGACTTTTAAATGAGATGAATAATAAGAGCATGCATTGATTATATTGACTCTATTTTATGTATTTTTAATAAGGTATTCCACATGGAAAATAAGTTAGAGCCATCCTATTTATGAAGCTGGAATTTTGACTTTATTTTCCCAAATGTCCTACTTACATATTTAAATGTGATGAGAGTAATAATATTAAAAAAAAAAAATTCCAAATAACATGAAGGAAACAAATCTGTGAGCACAACCTTTCCTTGTGGAAAGGTTGATGTATGCTCTTACTTCCCACAGTCTATGTAGTTCAAATCTAAACTGCCGACTGAAAATGGAGAGGACTCATACTTGAAACATGATTACTTTGAGTCATTTCCTTTTCTTTCCTTCCATTTTCTCAGCCACTCAGCAGCCTATACTGTTGGGCTGATGGTTGTTTGAATGGGGACTTACTGCACCATTCTGAGTTTGTGTTAAGCTTTTGTGAAGAACTTGAATCTCTTCAGTACAAAAATCCTTTCCTCCTGACTTCATTACTGCCAAATAGGTAGACCTCTGATGTCAAGGGTACACATTCCCTTTTAAGAGTATCAGATAAATTTTACTAATTTCAAAGAGTAATGGACAGCTTATCATATATGGTGTATTCATTTGTAACATGCAAACTAATATAACTTGAAATCTGGAGACATACAGAGCAAAACAAAAAGGCAAACAGGTTATAGGTGTGACTACTAGGTGTTTTTTCTTTTTTTTTTTTTGAGACAGAGTCTCACTTTATCGCCCTCGGTATAGTGCCGTGGCATCACAGCTCACAGCAACTTCCAACTCCTGGGCTTAGGCAATCTCTTGCCTCAACCTCCCGAGTAGCTGGGACTACAGGTGCCCGCCACAATGCCCAGCTATTTTTGTTGTTGTTGCAGTTTGGCTGGGACCGGGTTTGAACCCGCCACCCTTGGTTTATGGGGCCGGCGCCCTACTCACTGAGCCACAGGCGCCGCTCCAGGTTTGTTTTTATGCAACTAATTTATACAGGGCTATTAAACCAGTACATGCTAAATGTGAGGAACCAAATGAAGAATAAGGCAGAATTTCAGAATGGGTCAGGAATCATGGACCCTGTGGGTTAGGAGGAGAGGGTACAGTCTCCAGACTGTCCTCTCCTAAATATATTCAAACCTTAAAAGGTTTACTTGACAGAATGTGAGCTAACTAGTTGCTTCTTTTTTTTTTTCTCAGCTTGAAGATTGAGTGTAAAACATGTAGAAGTAGGTGGAATTAGGCTTACTAGGAGTGTACTGGTGAGAGGATAGAAAACTATAATAAAATGTATACTACATGAACTGTAGGGTTCTGTTCTCCAAATAAGAGCACATACAAAAGGATGTGCTGAGATGGTGCTAAAGTTCATAATCTAAACTTACTTTGCCTGTCGTTTTTGTTTAATTTTAGAGATGGGTTGTCACTGTGTTGCCCAGTCTGGTGTGCAGTGGCTGTTTACAGTCATGATCGTAGCACACTATGGCTCCAAACTCCTGGGCTCAAGTGATTCTCCTTCCGCAGCCTCCAGAGTAGCTGGGACTATAGGTGCACACCACTGCGCCCAGCTCTGCACTGTCCATAGAGCAAATGGAGAAATAGCCTTTCTTATTTTTTTATTGTTAAATAATACAGATTTTATTTTATTTATTTTTTGAGACAGAGCCTTCCTTTGTCACCTTTAGTAGAGGGCTGTGGCATCAAAGCTCATATCAACTTCCAACTCTTGGGCTCAAGTGATTCTCTTGCTTCACCCTCCCAAATAGCTGGGACTACAGGTGCCTGCCTAGCTATTTTTAGAGACGGGGTTTTGCTCTGGCTCAGGCTGGTCTGGAACCTGTGAACTCAGGCAATTCACCTGACTCGGCCTCCTAGATTGCTGGTATTACAGGTGTGAGCCACCATTATTGGACCTAAGAAAATGCTTAATCAGGTGGTGCCTGTAGCTCAGTGCGTAGGGTGTTGGCTACATACACTGAGGCTGGTGGATTTGAACCCCAGTCCTGGCTAACTAAACAATGACAACTGCAACGAAAAAATAGCTGGGCGTGGGCGGCACCTGTGGCTCAGTGAGTAGGGCACTGGCCCCAGGTACTGAGGGTGGCAGGTTCAAACCTAGCCCCAGCCAAACTGCAACAAAAAAATAGCTGGGAGTTGCGATGGGCGCATGTGGTCCCCGAGCTATGTGGGAGGCTGAGGCAAGAGAATCTCCTAAGCCCAAGAGCTGGAGGTTGCTGTGAGCTGTGATG